TCCATACTAAGATTGTGTCGCATTGTCATGAGTAGGAAAGGTGAGACTTATCCATTGCAGCTGTCCGCTCCAATTTTTTTAAAAAAATTTTGCAGCTGGGTGTCTTCCATTTCAACAGGAACACCAACAAAAATCTAATACACCTGCAAATCTTTTAATTTCCAAGTTAATTAAGCCACATGTCTTCCCTCCCAGCCAGTGTTCAGTCAAACAGAGGTTTCGTTTTTCCATAGAAAGTGTACTTGGGGCACAGTTTGCAAACTGCGTGTCTCCAAACTCACCCACTTGTCAGGTTACATCAAATATTAAAATGTTTAAACATCATAAACACTGGCAGAAAATTGACTGATTTTATTCGTGCCTTTGCTAAGCACAACTGGATTACCGGAAGATTTGAGGTAATTAATTATAAGCTTCGAGGGGAAATGTGGCATAACAGACTCATTAATAGAAATGTTACATTTGGACAGGACTTGTTTGGGCTTTTTTTTTTCACCTCTTCCTTTTAAAAGTCCTGATTGTCATCAACTCAAAGGAAGAATGTTTAACAGAGAGTTTGGAAAACTTCACAGTAACTAGTTTCTTCCAAAGGGTGCCTTTTAGGAAGGATGGGAGAGGAGATGTCACCCCTTGAGGTATTGTTTAATAATAATAATAATAATAATAATAATAATAATAATAATAATAATAATAAATTTTATTTTTATACTGCCCATTGGTAGTCCAATCCAGGTGGTTTACAGCATAAAAATTTGCATACAACGTAAAACAACATTTTCCCTCCCCCCCTTAAAACGTTATTAAACCACATTATAATTAAAACCATTTAGCAATATAACAACAAAAATTAAAATTAAAACAATACAATTATTACTGTTATTATTATGATCATCGATATCCCACCTTTCATAATGGGACTCAGGGCAGTTTGCCACTTGTTAAAAACAATGCAGTTTTAAAATGACACAAAAACCATCAATCCAAAATTTATATATAAAAGTTATTTTTAAAACTTTTAAAATAATTTGCCAAGTTAGTACCATTAAAATCCATTTAAAGACTTATATTTGTTGTTGTGTGCCTTCAGGTTGTTTCCAACTTCCTAAGGCAAATCTGTTCATGGGGTTTTCTTGGCCAGTTTCTTCAGAAAGGGTTCGCCATTGCCTGAGAGAGGCTGAGAGAGTGTGACTTGCCCAAGGTACCCAGTGGGTTTCACGGCTGATATACCAACCAACAAAACAGCACAGCACACTACGAAAAGCCCATCCCAGCCCATTTCTAAAAACTCCTGATGGAATAAGAATATTTTGACTTTCCAGCAGAAGGAGAGCAAGGGTGAAGGAGAGCATTTTGGCCTCTTGAGGGAGGGAGTCCCAAAGTCTGGGAGCAGCCACCAAGAAGGTCTTGTTCTCTCCTGTTGCCACCAAAAGAGTTGGAGAAGGTAGCGGAGCATAGAGAAAAGCCTCTCCTGAAGGTGATTCCCAACCTTCGGTCTTCCATTCGTTTTGGATTTCAACTCCCAGAAGCCCCAGCCAACCTTGGCCAACAGTCAAGAATTATGGGATCTCAAGTCCAAATCATTTGGAGGGCCAAAGGATGGGAACCACTGCTTTTGGGTATTCCCACCTTATGCTTATGTATGTTTTTTTATGGGGGGGGGAGGGTTGTCATTGCAAAGGTTGGTATTCTCTTTGTCTCTCCACAATTTCCAAAGTCGCTCCTCTCTACAAGACACACCATTGCACTGCAATAACCCACCTTTCACAGCTATTCTGTTGTTGGGGGAGAAAGGAAATGCAGATGTGACAAAGAGAAGAATCCTAAGTGTGAATCATAGAATCATAGAGTTGGATTTTCCTAGAATCATAGAGCTGGAAGATAGCTCAAGGGCCATCAAATCCAACCTCATTTTGCCATGCAGGAAGATACAAGCAAAGCATCCCCAACAGATGGCCATCCAACCTCTGTTTAAAGACCTCCAAAGAAGGAGACTCCACCACACTCCTAAAGATTTCTGTACCTCTCTCTCTCTCCAATGCTAGAAATTTGGAGACCAATGGAAAATTTCATTGGAGGAGCAGACTTCTTAATTTTGGGGGTCTTGATCTAATCCATGGGACCCACTTTCCCCGCTCTGTCCCTCCTTAAAAGGCCATCTGGTTGATTTTCATGAGTGCAAGCTAATTTTGGCAGAGCACAGACATGGTTTCCATCCCTCGATAGCCTCTTTGGTCTGAGACGTGAACGGAAGGTAACTTTGCCAAACAATTATTTGAGGATGGGGACCATTTTGTAAAGAAGAAGAAGAAGAAAGAAAGAAAGATGTTTTGCAAGGTTTCTGTGTGCTTGGTAGGTCTCTTAATTGGTTTCATCACAGCTTCTTGCCTCTGGCCCTTATCTGGGGCTGGGAAGCAGCCTTCCCTTTGGAGAAGAAGAGACCAGATGTAGCTCCACCGATTGGTTGGAAGACTAGCCTGGGCAAGATGTAAACCAAGGATTTCGTTGCATGCTCTTTGGACATATGCGCAGCTCAGGGGCTAATCTTCCCAGGGCTTTGCAACCTGGGTGACTCTCTCTCTTTTCTGCATCTGCCGATCAACTTCTCTCTCTGAATGTGCAACACGAGAAGGAAAACAGAGGAATGGAAGGGAAATGTATCATTTCTTCTTCTTTCCCACCCCTCTCTCCAGAAATGCACACAGCATTGTTATTTGTCGGTTGCAAATCTTGCATTTGTTTTTCATTTATACCAGGAGCTGAGTTGGCTTGACGAGGAGCCAAATTGCCTCTAAATATTATCTGTTCGGTGACAGCACCTCCGAGGCATGCAGACAACGGTGGCACTTGTGGAGTGCGGGCGACCATCTGGCACCGGGCTCCATGTTGTGACTTGAGCAAACGCACAAAGGCAAGCAAAGCATTTCTGTTCCCAATGTGTTTGATTCTGCCTTGACAGTCCCAAGCTCTTGGGGCCAAAGAGGAAAGAGGCAGTAACACTGACAGCCAGTGTCGGGGTGGTGGTGGTGGTCAGGGAAACCTCTCTGGGTTCTAGTCCAAACTTTAAAGGAGTTGTCCAAGGTGTTGAAGCAAATCCACAGAAGAGCACCTTGGATAGAAGCACCACTGGTTTGATTTGGGGTGCCACTATGGATGCAAAGGGGAAGACAATTTAGACTCATTGGACTGGAAGTCCCCATAATTGGAGGGTATGGCAAAATAATACAAACAAATAAATGAGTCCACTTTTTAAGTTCTATTGATCCGAGTGAATGGGAAGGCTAAAGTGAGAAACCTATACTCAGGACAAGAGGCCACTGTTAGGACAGATTATGGAGAAACAGAATGGTTCCCAGTTGGGAAAGAGGTCAGGCAATGTTGCAAATTATCACCCAATCTGTTCAATTTGTATGTAGAGAATATCTTATAAAGAGCAGGTTTAGACTCAGAAGAAGAAGAAGGAGTGAAGATAGGAAGGAGGAACACCAACAATCTAAAATATGCAGATGACACCATATTACTAGCAGAAAACACAATATTACTTGGAACAATTACTAAGGGAGGCCAAGGAAGAAAGTGCAAAGGCAGGCTTTGTGCTGAACATAAAGAAAATAAAAATAATGACCACCAAGGATCGACACAAATTCAACCTAGATAATGAGTCTATCAATATACAGTGGTACCTCTACTTACGAATGCTTCATCTTACGAAA